CTGGAGAACACGAAAGGGGAATGCCTTCATATCCCATTTTTCTCCGATTTTGCTTGGGTTTAATTTGTAAAGTTTGGGGTTTGGATTTTTGTGGTGCTCAAAATCTGTAGAACTTTGATGTGAAATGAGGTCGGATTTGTCGTTATCTGAAGCTCATGGAGAGAGATCATCACTCATCGAGGTTCGTATTTCTTCATACGCGAAGATCGCTGGAAATTTCGAACAAATCACTCCATTTTTTTTCTCTCTTAATCGCTACATTCATGTTCATCACTCTGTTTTATGCAATCTCTGTTTGCGATTCGAGGTTCATCATGTCCCCTGCAAGTTTTCTAGGGTTTTTCCTGGGTTTTTGTATGGGAAACTGAGAATCCGAGAAATTTCGACGGTGACCGGAATCGGTTTTTGGACTTTAGCAGATCCTTCTCTAATAACCGGTTCCGGTTTAATAGTTTGCTTCGTTTTGCTTTGAAATTACAGACTGAATAGCGATTGATTACTAACGAAAGTTGATTTTGTTCATTTTGTAATGTTTCTACAGGAACATGAATTCTCATAAGCGACCAATTGTGTTCGCGGTTCGAGATTTCCCACCTGGTCGTGGAACTCCTTCTAATCTTCCTGAGAAGCCCTTGAAGAATCCAAGAACCAGTACTGATCTTGTTGTGAAGAATCCAAGCATTGATCATGTTGTTGCAGGTCCAAAACCTAAAGGATCGGACCTTGTTTCAAACAAAAGCCAGAGTTTAGTGATCATGTAGCAGCTCCTAACACTAGTGGAACAACAACATCTCTCAGTCAAAAACCAGACTGTCGAAACTCTGATCGTGATCGTGATCTTGTTCTTGCAGATCCTAAAGGAAAACGAATCTGTATGGAACATGATCCTACACCTCGAGAGAGAGTGCTTGATTCGTTAGGTCATTTCAAACAAGTTTTCTTTCAGCTGATTCATTCGACGCTACAGCCAGAATTGACCTCAAAACGTTGGATGTCTTAGAGAAAATGGGAATGCGAGTGAACATAGAGAAGAGAATCGGATCAGTCCCTGGTATCCAAGTCGGCTGACGAGTTCCAATACAAAACCGAGCTTCGTCTTCTCGGGCTACACTCCAAACCGATGTGTGGGATCGATTATATGGATATCGAGAATTTAAAGCTGGCGACAAGCATCGTTGCCTCGGACGGGTATGGATACGAGGATAAATTTGTGTCTGATGTTGTGGTTTATACAGGGGAAGGAGGTAACCTGATAAGCAAGGAAAAGAAAACTGAAGATCAGAAATAAGTGAAAGGGAATTGAGCTTTGGCGAATAGTTTGAGACGTAGGAATGAAGTCAGAGTGATACGTGGCGAAGAGAGATTGTATCGAAAAGGGGGAAAACGTTATGTTTACGATGGATTATATTTGGTACATGAATATTGGTTAGAGACAATTAGAGGTAAAAGTGTGTACAAGTTTAAGCTTTGTAGAATTCCTGGTCAACCTCCCCGTTGAGTTGAGAATAATATTATATCAGATAAAAATGAAATAAATTTATGATTGTGCAGTGAGATTTCAGGGAAAGTGTTACTTTTTTTATAAATAAAGATATATTTCAATTTTTTGTTTGTAAAATAAGAATAGACGATTATAGCTTTTTTTTTGTTAGCAGATGTAACATATTATCAATATTTTATGAATATGTATATGTGATTTTATAATATTTTTACTATTTTATTAAGAAGAAGATTAACGGTTTCTTCGCTTTAAGAGCAAATGCATTGGTTGAGTTTCTATAGAACATATCTAACTAATTTAATATTAATACTTTTAATATAATTAAATTATTTAATTAAATAAAAAAATTTGAACCACTTAGAACACTACACATATGATGACAAGTTTCTCAAAGTTTTCTTAATCCTAAGAAACCCTCTAAACCCCACCAATGAACTTGCTCTTCGGTTCATTCGGTTAAAAACCGGACCATATTCAAATTCACAAGCGAAAGTGTAAATAAATGAATATTAAGTAAATGCTTCGAAGAAATTCAAATTACATACGAAGAGCATCAATGAAGAGCAATAAACCAATACTGACAAAGAATTACTTTCGGTTGATGGATGTAATTGAGCTTCATAAGATTTAAGTGACCAATAGTCAATCCTTTTCTACTCTTCATGACAAGCTGAACCTGGATCTAACAGGTAAACACAAATTAATCCTAAAACATAACAATATAAAGGGAAAAGCAAGTTACAAAGACAAAATAATACATATCTTTGACGCATATGGCTTGGATCATAGTAGTAACCATCCTGAAAGATACAAATGGAGTAGAGTTACACTCGGTTTGATGAGCATGTACTAGTTTATGAGAGAAACATGGTTGTATATATTCAATCAACCAAACCATCTGTAATTAAAAGTGATTAGATATGCATGTATTTGTAGAATTACTGATTGACCAAAAAACATATGGTTTCTTGAAACTTACAATATTATGTTTGACCAAACGTCGCAAAAATTTCAACAAAACTTTTGATAAGTGGTAGTAAAATCGGAAGGTTATATCTTATCTTGCAAAAATTTATTTCGTAATTACACAACATCATCGTTTATGTTGTTGGATGGGGATAATCTCATAAGCTGTAACCTCCGATGCTCTCCCATGCTCAATGCTCGCAATGATAGAAATCATTACGTATATAGTGGTTTGTATTTGATTGAGAACTATTGGCAAGAGAGAGGATCTAAAGGTAATGTTGTGTTCAAGTTCAAGCTTGCTAGGGTTTCAAGTCAACTTTTTGTTGACTTTTAATGAAATTTCGCAACTCGTTTTTAAGTTAGATCTTAGGCACCAATTCATATTTATAATAAAATTTCGGCCGAACATAAAAAAGTTGCTTTATTACTAGACATACACGGAGAATAACCCTATTATAAACTATGTTATTTTTTTTATTGTTTGTTAAAACTTAAGAGAGATTTGAAGATCATTACAAAGGATTTAAATTAGATTTTCTTCACAATGCATATTTTCCAAAAGTGAACAAGTAAAATTGAACTAACTATAATTTCATTAGTTTCTAACCAAAGATACAAAGTCATACAGAAACTTCAGAATACAAATGATTACATAAACAGATATATGCGCTATATAGTGAGAAAGATACAGTAAAAAGTGAATTTAACGATGATTTCCGTAGATAATCTTTATTCGTTAACAGATTATTCGGATTATTAAATCCGTTATTTTCCTTCTCCATATTCGATCTTGCTTTGATGAGCATGTGCATGGATAACATCTCTTGACTAAACTAAACCTCCAAATTACACATTGGATGACAAAACCCAATGCTTCCGATAACAATTATGAAAARAAATCCCATATAAAAATGAAATTATGCTTAAAAAAGGAATTAATAGAAAAAAAGGATGGATCACATCTTTTGATTCGAGTCGTTCGTCATTTTTCCTTTTATTTTTCTAAACACGTTTAGGTTTTCATGTGTCAGTCGCCTCTTAGTTTATGTTTCAAGATTGATCCTAATCTCATTAGGATCCCAATGTAAGAGATGTGTGTGACTTAAGGATATAGTATACCATGTCTCTCTAATAAACATCAAGCTTTATTTTTCTTTCTTTCTCACCAAAAAAAAAAAAAAGAACATCAAGCTTTTCACTTTCATACCCAATTCCCTATCACAGACGTGTTTAAGAAAGAGTTTTTGAAGCTACAATACATGCTCAAGGTTTTCGACATACATACTCTTCTTGAATAATTACAACTCGGTCAAGAAAGAATCATTATGTTTTGAAAACTGGAACGGTTCGACCAAGACGATCAAATTAAGTCAAAAACCGGACAAAACCACAAAAACCAATATATTGGTTTACAAACATATGGTCCACAATAATACATAAGTTTGGCTAGTTTAAAATTTTGAGTTAAAATTGTAATCTAAATTCAAAATCGCCATCTTTTCTTTATAAAATTTATTTCTACTTTTCAATTTTATGRAAAACCAAAAACCATCTCCTTCCCAACTATAGGTAAACAATYMYTYRTTTWWTRWTWATRTARTTTTMCGAGAAAGTGTTATTTAAAATTTTTAGTGTGTTTTGTTGATACGTGAGTTCGACAATATATTTGTTAAACAGTAAGAGATTTGGAAACTTTCGTTTATTGATAACGTGTTCGGAAATGGATTACAAACAACGTATAAATAAGGAGAAATGAATGTAAAGGACGTTGAGCTCGGAAGCTTATAAACTGACGAACCTTGTGCTTCGCGGATTAACTGGGTAACGAGATCGGTGTTCTGAGATCGTAGACTGAGTGACATGCAAGTGTAATGAGGTCGGAAACTGAATGATAAGTACGTATTTTGAGGTCGGAACCTGGTGATAAGTGCTCTGTGATCGGGATAAGTACAAACTCTGCAAGCCATTTTCTAACGAACTTTTGTAAGATTCCGGCGGAAAACGTACGAACAAAATTCTTTTCTTTTTTGGGTGAGTTAGAGTCCTGAAAACCGTTGGTCTTTCAGATCCCTTGTACTCTCCAAAAGGTAATAACTGATGGATAAGAAGGTGGGGGACCCCTATTTATACTAGATTGAGAAAGTACATTAATGTAGGGTTTCTCTTGGGACTTGAGTTGGGCCTTTAATTCTGTCGGGCCGAGCTCGGCGAGATGGGCTTTATAATTTGTCAATTATAAGGCCCATGCCCAACATTAGCCCCCTAGTCGACGAGCGCGTTGGTTGGTGGGCTCATCGATGTGGTTCGGAGGCCCATATTTCCTTCGGCCCATCATCTGCTCGCCTCTGATTGGCTCTTTTGAAGCGGTGTGTGAATCTCGAGAGGCGACCTTTCGTCTTCCGAACTAGGTCTATTTAAACGAGATCCGGACTTCAGTTTTCTCTATTTGCTTTCTCGATCTCTCCGGATAAAGGTAATCTTCTCTCTAGATCTCTCTCGATTTTTCTGCTCGGCCTTAGATTTTCTGGTAAGATCTTCAGGTTTCCTTGGTCGATTCTTCTTCTCTTCCAAGTCCGTTTTCTGGGTTTTTCGACTGTCTTTTCATCATGTCTTCCAATTCAAACGATCGTGAAGAATCCGACTCGATTAACTCCGGTAATTCTCCGAATCTCGAATACTCTCTTCCGCGGGGCATTGAATCTCCTGAGGCTTCTTCTTCTGACCATTAGCTGCTGATTCGGAAGAATCAGTGAGATCCGACCGCTAACCGGGGCGGAGTTGCTTCAAGCTCGGATTGACCTCCTTCGATAAGCTCTCGTACTATGTCGAGCTCGCGTCGTTCTCCCAGCATGGTTCTTCCTCTGGCGAGACACGGCGCTGGCAAGAGTTTGGCACTCAGGCCTAGCTCGCCTGATACTGGGTACCAGACCTCCCAGTTCGAGCTGGATGACCTTGGTGATTATGGTCATCATCTGGGTCATGGGCTCGCTTCTGATATCGTTCTCGAGGGTCACGATGACGAAGGGACAAAATCTACTGCGGATACGCTCAATAATCTTCGGAGAGTGTATCACATCCCGTCGGAGGTTTCCTTCCTTCTCCCTAAGAGCAGCGATTGACCATGGAATCCTCCTCTGGGGTACATGTGTCTGTATGAGTCCTTCATTTACGAAGGTGGTCGGGCGAAAACTCTGCTGCGATGCCTTGAGGATCTGACAAAGATCACTAGAAAAACGACCAAAGGAGGTCGTTTTTATCTCAGCATGAGGAAATCCCTCATCGAGTGCTCCAAAGGGAATAAGACTGCTGATTAGGACACTCGTTATTTCTTTGTGAAGATCGATCAGGCCTCGGTCGGGAATCTGGACTAGGAAATCCAAGTCGGGTGAAACACCGAGATCGGTATTTATTTTACCCTTGTGTTTTTCTTGGATTGATCGGCACTGACGC